TCCTCTAATAAAATTTCCAAGAAATAACTGTATAATTTTTTAATCACTTTTTCATCAGTACCTGTCAAGATCCTGTCTAAATCAGTCAATTTATCATAAAATCCCTCCGCTTTAGAATCTATAAGATACCTTGAATGTATTTGCGCATATGAAAACCAATTCATCTTTATGCCTTGTTCTTCTAGTTTTTGCATTGTTTTAAGTTCACTCTTTTCATCCAATATTTCCCCATATCTAACTGTTTGTTCCTTCTCATATATTATAGGATAAGAAAAAGCTTCAATAGTTGATAACCAGACTGGGATTTTCAAATAACATTTTCTCTTAATTTTCTCCCAATTCAACCATAAAGACTCCCTTATATAATGCCTTCTAAAATAGCCCTGCGATTTAGTTCCCTTATACCACAGAAAAGCATGCCATCCCAGTAATAAACCATGCCCTTCTAATGTCAACAATCTAGTCTTTCTTAATGTTATCCATTCTTTAACCCACATTAAATTTGCAGCTTGGTAGTACAACTCCCAATTCGGAAGGCCAAATCCTCCTCTAATTCTAGCATCTTGTAGAAGTTTTAATTTTATTCTGGCTTTCTTACCTTGCCATATAAACTTCAACACAATTTTATTTAATTCTTCAAAGTAATCTTTACCAAGCCTGATTGGTATGGTTTGGAACAAATATAAAATTCTGGGTAAAATATTCATCTTGATTGTTGAAATTCTACCTATCAATGACAATTGTAGATTTTCCCATTTCTTCAAATCAGATGCTATCTGTTGTTTAAGTTTAATATAGTTATTCTCTTTCAATGTAGTACATCTTGACGTCAAATGTATCCCCAAATATTTAACCTTATTCGTAACTTGAATTTTCAATAAATCTGCCAGTTCATCTCTTTGTTTTAATAACATATTCTTTGTCAAGATCTTTGTTTTATCTTTATTTATTTTCAAGCCCGCCATCTCACCATACATCTCTATCTTTTCCAGTAGCTTTAAAGCTGTTCCTAGAGGATCTTCCAAAATAAAAACCAAATCATCCGCAAAGGCTTGCAATTTAAATTCCTCCTTCTTAATTTTCATTCCTTTTATATTTGGATCCTCTCTAATGTTTCTATTCAGCACTTCCAAAGTCAATACAAATAACAAAGGTGATAATGGGCAACCTTGTCTTGTGCCTTTTCTTATATTAATAGAATCTGTAAAATCTCCCTCTATCATTACTCTTGCCGTTTGTTTATCATATATGGCTTCTATTGCTTGAATAAATTTTCTAGCAAAGCCCATCTGTTCCAATAACAAAAACATGAATCTCCAGTTCACATTATCAAATGCCTTTTGGGCATCTAAAAATATCAAAGCCATTTGTTTTTCAGGATACGCCTTGTAATATTCCAAGGTGTCCAGAATTACCCTCATATTATCCCTAATTTGTCTCTTTGGCAGGAATCCATTCTGGTCAGGATGAATAAAGTTATTTAGGTATCTTTTGAGCCTTTCTGCCAAGATGGAAGCAAAGATTTTATAATCTGCATTCAGTAAAGAAATAGGTCTATAGTTCTTAATTTGTGATGGATCGGCCCCTTCTTTTGGAATAAGTGTGATATAAGCTTCTGACATAGCATTAATCACCAAAACTGAACAAGAAGCTACTGAGATAATTTCACTATTGGAAAAGAAATTTAAAATAAAACAATTAGGAAAAATCAAACAATATCCTGGTTTAAAGATAGATAGAACTAGGGGAGGATACAAGATCTCACAGGCAGATAAAATTAACCAATTACTAAAAAGTTATAAAATGGAACTTTGTAAGCCGGCTAAAACACCAATGAGCCAGGAGTTTGGCCATAGTGATGTTTAAAGTCCTATTTTTGATAAGAACATTTATCAGTCCTTGATTGGTAGTTTATCTTATCTCAGTAATTGGTCAAGGCCAGATATTGCATACCGTGTTAATCAATTAGCAAGATTTAATACTGAGCCAACTGAAAGTCACTGGCAAACTGCTAAACGTGTGTTAAGATATCTGAAACAATGCATAAACTGGGGCAAAAGTTACTTAACAACTGTCTTGCTTAACAGTGGAAATTTTGGGCTCAATTGTGGTCATGTCGATTACCTGTATATGGGTAGTCTTAATATTGTAATTTCTGACTATTGAAAGGTATTATTAGCCTTTTCTACACACTACATAGACACATGAGACACTGATTCTCAATTTGAATCTGAATTCAGACTTGATTCTTAACATTTGGGGCTGCAGTAAAACTAAGCTTGGTTCTGAATAAACATGCGTAAAATTGTACTTAAATAACATTAATAACAAAAATCATAATAGAAGACCACATGGAAATCCTTAGAACAATTGTATTTCTTTTAATTGTAATCAGCAATAGAAACCCCCACAAAAAGCCGCCCAGACTAAATCTGGAGATGGGCAATGCTGAAGTCAAATAAATAATAACATACTTCAATAACTTCTAATTAATCATAATTATTTCAAACACAGTTGGAATAAACTTTTGAGGACTATGGTGTATGGAATATTTTCAAGGTGTTTTTGAACAGTATCTGAAATTTCAACTGCTTTGGGATGTTTGAATAATATTTTACTTGCATACCAATAGGTACAGCATTTCTGCCCAGCAGTAATTAAATGAAGGTGAAACATTTAAAAGATTAATTTTTGTAAAGAAAACTTCAGTAGTTTCAGAGAAAAATAAAAACAGATATGCCTTTAATTTTGCACTATTAATTTTAAGTCATAAGAGATAGGGATTACTTTAAAATAGTGTCTGACATCTCCTAAAATAATGTCTGACATCTTTGGTATTTGACCTTGTAAAGAAACTGCTGCAGATAGAAGGATTGTCGTCCTGGCCCCAAACAGAAGTTAATTGTTTCAAAAAGTTTCAATAATTAACTAATTTTACTGAGGAGCTGTGTTCTTAGAAAAATGTAGATTTAAAACCACTTTTTGAGCTGTGGTATTTTCTGCTCCCATTTGTATTATGAAGGAGCTAAAGTTAAAGAGAAATGAACTTAAATGAAAATGCTATAAACTAAACCTATATGTTATGCTGTTGGGTGAATTTATAGGATCTTATGATTTAAAAAAAAACCCCACTCAATTCAGTAAAAAAACATTCTATTTTAAATATTCATTACTCTAGAACAGTAGACCATTGCATAAAAGAGTTTACCATGCCAATAATGATATTTGGTATTAGTTTAATACTATGTTTAATACTATGTTGAGACTATAAAAAAATACACATACAGGGTGTCTTCAACTTACAACCACAATTGGGACTAATTTTAGAACAGGTTTTGGAGTTTAAGACCAATGAATGGTCTTATTTTTAAACCATCATGTCACATTTTTTATTTTTCATTATAATGTATTGAATGCTAATCATCAGTTTTATAATAGTACTGTATTTATTTTACTGGCTCAATCATCAGAATGGAATATAAATATTAGTAAATGAATGAGATAAATTATTTAACTTTATATATGCTGGATTATCCCTTATGTAAAAGGAGCAGTATTGCACAAGCACAAAGTGAATGCAAAGTTTTTCCATATGCAAAAACTCCAAATATGCAATGTGTATCTCGATGCAGAGGTAATTTTGTTGAGATGAGTACTACATTTTTCAGACCAAATGCTAATTATTTTTAGCAAAAGTATTCAAAAAGAAAAGCCTCTACAAGCTAAGAAAAACTAAAATGTTGAACTGCTTTGAGAAAATCAAAGCATGACTGTCTGCAGGTGGTGCACTGGAAGGGGAGAAATAGTTGTGATAGCAACTCAACAATTATGCCTTTGTTCCTAAGTTAGCTATTCTCAGTTACAATGGAAATTCAGTGAAGGTTTGTTAAATGTCTGGTTGGCTGGAAACAGGAAGTATTTTTTAAAAAAGTCCTGGGAAACAAAATGTCTTCAGCACATATTAAGTATGCTTATAAGAATCACACAAATACCTTCCCTCCCCAAAAGCTAACAGTTATTGGAAAGAAAACCCCTTAAAGAGTAAGAGAAAATAATGTAGCATATATTGAACTTGTTAGCTTAGTTGTAGCACTGCCTCATTTCTGGAAGATGTTTATCAGCTAGTTTGACTTTGGAAAGATGCAAATAGTTCCTTCATTATTTACTTTCATTTGTATGCTTCGTCTTCCAGTGTTCTAATTGCAGTTTGTGTTTTTAAGGCACGATCTAGTTGTTAAAATGTATTTAAAACAATTAAAGAGATAATTCTTCAGTAATTTTAATTATACGCAATGTGATTTCTGGGGGGAGTGAAAAATTGGCACCTGCTGCAATTCCATGTAAATGAGAACTGGTTAAGGTAATTATTAGAGACTTCGGGGCATCTAAAAGCAAAGAAGAAATTCCTCCTTGACAGATGCAGGTGTTTGTTGACTCACCCTTTCTGTTCTGTCTTCAAGTAAGCCGTTTCTTTCGTTCTCTGTAAAAAACAGATTTCTGTCTCGTTCTTTGCAGCATTTTATATTACACGCTTAAAAGCACATTGTTCTTATATGCTACGTTTCAGAATTTGTTTTGGAACCGAACAATAAAACTGCGATGTAGGAGGACACTAGGCCTAGTCTGCGTTAAGCCAGCCTCAATTTGGTGCTTCACTCATCATAGAATAAAACGAAGCATAACGTGTACAAGAAATCCAAACAACCTGGAATAGGAACGTTCGAGACATCACAATATAATGTGTTATTTGAAGCGCCTTTATTTTGCAGGAAGGCCTTGAAGCCAAAGTAGTAGTGAGTCTGTCTCCGATTATAAACAAAAGCCATCATCTCGCCCCTTCAGGCTCCCTAAAACAGCAAATGGAGAGGTGGCGCCCGCGCCTCCCACGAATCCCTACCAAAGCCGCTTTCAGCTTCCCCCCAACCCAGCGTCGACTTATCGCTTCCAGTCATTTGCCCCTCCCCTTCGGGTTCTTACACAGCGGCGGTAACCCCGGCCTCCACCTCGCGTGCTAACACACACGCACGCACACCGCGCAGGCAGGCAGTGGCACTCGCAGCACAGCCACGGCCGTTCCACCAGGCATGGCACAGGGCTCTACTTCATTATGGCAGCAGCGCGACACAGCACTCTCGACTTCATGCTCAGCGCCACAGGTGAGGCACCTCATTTCGCCGACTCGCCCTTTCTGGCCTACCCACCCACTCATGGCTGCCTGGCCGGCCCACAATTGTTCTTCCTTCCCTTCCTTAGTTACGGGGGAGAGGAGAGGTCCGGACTGCTTGCTGGGTCGCTCTTGCAGCAAGAGCCACGGCTCTCCGCAGGCCTCTGCACCAAATGAGGCGAGTGAGCGAGCGAGTTTTGTCGTCTAGGTCGGCGTGGGAAGAGTGGGGCAGCCTGCCAGTTTTGCCCCGGTGTGTTTCTTTCCTGCCCACTCGCCCTCCCGTCCCCAAATACGCGGCATATCCCCTTCTTCCCTCCCCGAGTCTCCTTTACCGCCAACTCTTGAATCTTCTGTTCTCCCGAATCTTCGATTACCCCGACATATTCGAGGTTTTTTCCCCTCTTCCCCCTCCCCCTTTCCGCTTGCAATTATTTTCTGATATTCAATTACTGTATTTTCTAACATTCGTGCCTGCAACTCCTCCCCTTCGCAAATACAAATTGCCTAAAAACTCGGCCCCCTCTTGCTCTTCCAACCATGCGTGTTTCCGTGCCGCATGTGCTTTATGGCGAAATCTTGCCATGTGTCTGTCTCATTCATTTCCCGAAACAGAACGCACTCTCACCCGAATATGATTTACTCTCGTCAATAGGCCGGCAAAGATCTTTCTTCTCCTTTCCGGGCATATTCCCTTTATATACTTAAAAACGTGAGCTCGTGCCGGGGGGCGGTGGGGGGGGGCGGATAAAACATCGAAAAAACATCAGATATTCGGCACTATTGCAAATGTGAGCCCGTGCCTGGGGGGGGGGGGGGGGCTATAAATGCGGCTTGTTTCTGTCCAGTAGAAATAGGCGTCTGTTCATTTTGCAGGTCTTGCGTTTAAAGGACGGGCCTTAATCTACCCCTCAGGCGATAAGGTTTTTCCTCTAGAAATGCTGATTGAAGAGGTGATCCAGTTACCTCCCCCTACCCTTCCTGATTTCCTGGCTCTACTGGAAATTGGGTTTGAAAGAAAATGTTAGCTGTATAGTAGAGGGGAAATTGTGTGCTTGCTTAATAGAGTAATAATAGAAACAAGATGTACTGTGCAGAACATAGAAGAACAGGAAGCCTTCTTACAAGGATAAATTTGAATGAAATTGTGTCTAATTGGTTGGGGAAGGAAATATTTGGGATAATTCTATCTTATTCATCTGACAGTTGGATTTGTTTGTACATATACATTATTAATTATTTTGCAAATCTTAAGTGGTATTAAATTGGAATTGGGCTATTTCCCAATGTTTTCCAAAAGGCCAGAATCCAACAACGTTTATTTAGAGCCCTTCACCTTCAGTGCTTTTAAGAAATGTATTCAAATATAGTACAATTTTTTTTACAACCAAGAGGATTGCAGTCATTCTGCATAAAAGAAATAGGTCAATCTTTATGTAAACAAATCTCTCATAAAAATGCAATATTTAAAAACTAAGCGAGGAGACACAGTTGGTGGTGCTTTTTAATCAATAGAACTTAAAAGATCACAGCATGCTGTCCTGCTCAGGTTTTGTGTGTGTATGTGTATTTACACACACACATACAATTTTTTAGAAGATTATCAATTTTACTTTCAGAGGACAATAGCAAGGACTGTCAAACAAAGTGAAGGCTTGCCTGTGAATTTTGTTTTTAAAGAGGAGTATGCAGAAAACTCATCCAAAATCATTCTTGTCAAGGTTATCAGCTAGTCCAAGGGTCTATAGTGCAAGAGAAGTCATGCACGAGCCAGATATTATTTCCAGCAAAGAACATAAGCAAAGAAAACATTTTTTTAAAGGCTGCATTTTTTAAAGTTATCAGCAATCAGAATGTTTATTTCAGTGTTTCTCTATCTTGGCAGCTTGAAGATGTGTGGGCTTCAGCTGTCAAAATTCAGCAGTCAACATGCTGCCTGGAGTATTCTGGGAGTTGAAGTCCACACATCTTCAAGCTACCATGGTTGAAAAATACTGGTTTACTCCATTGCTTGACAAGTAACCAGCAGGTTTCCTCTGTTCTGTTCTTCCTTCTGGTGCAGAGTCCTTTCCTGACAGGTCCAGCTACTCAGGTAGTGCTGGTGATGAACCAGCCTTACGTGATGTCTGGCTTTTTCATTCCTGAATAGACATTGTGCAGGCTCAACTGAAGCAGCTTTTGCAGCTTTGGAGTCTGAGTCCCAAGCCTGGGCTATGATATATGCATTAATTGATGTATTAGCTTCCTTAGCAGTATCTGGATGCTGCCAAATCTTTTTTGTATGGCACTATTAACAACCTATGTATCACATATGATACACTGTAGAACTGGTAAAGTAAATTGTCTATTGTATTGCCATAAAACATTGAAACAGCTAAAACATTTCCTATAGTTTTTGCTGGAACACAGAACTATTGATGACAAAAAAGCAATGAGTTCCTTTAAATTCCACATTTGCATTTTGTTTTATGCCTGTGTTGCGTGACAGCTATACACATTGTTGATGTGCTTCGTTTGGCTACTGTACAAGGCACATAGGCTGCACAAACCTGGAAAGTAGTTGTCTTTCTTATAGTGGTTTTTTTTTCTTTTACAAAACTTAAGTCTTCACCGAATGGGTTGTAAATTAGAAAATACTGTAAAATTGTTGCAAAGTAGGATGGTAGATACGATGTTTTTACAGACTTGCTTGTTGCCTAAAACTACAGTACACATGTATTAAAAAGTTAGTTTTCTATTTCTATATTCTTAGTTAATTCTAAATGTAGATAGCGTTACTGCATTTATTTAAACCTTTTGTTTAAAATAAAGACACCTATTGCTTTCTTAATTTTAATAGCTGAATAATTGGTCAATGCTGGAAAACCTTCAATAATCTAACAATTGAGATTGTTGTTAGTCACAAAGTCACGTCTGACCCATCATGACCCCATGGACAACGTTCCTCCAGGCCTTCTTGTCCTCTACTCTGGAGTCCATTTAAGCTCACACCGACTGTTTCAGTAACATCATCCAGCCACCTAATTCTCGGCCATCCCTTTCTTCAGTTGTTCCCAGCATTAGGCTCTTCTCCAGTACATCCATCCTTCTTATTTGGTGGCCAAAGTATTTGAATTTCATCTTCAGGATCTGGCCTTCTAAAGAGCAGTCAAAGTTAATCTCCTCTACGACTGACCAGTTTGATCACCTTGCAGTCCAAGGGCCTTGCAGGAGTCTTCTCCAGCACCATAATTCAAAGGCCTCAATTCTTTGGGGCTCAGCCTTCCTTATGGTCCAACTTTCACAGCCATACATTGCAACTGGGAAAACCATAGCAGTGACTATATGCATTTTTGTTTGCAGGGTTATGTCTCTGCTTTTAGCTTTCCTCCCCAGGAGCAAGTGTCTTTTAATTTATTGGCTGTAGTCCCCATTTGCGGTGATCTTGGAGCCCAACTTGTGATTCATCTAGTCCTGCATTTCTCATGATGTGCTCTGCATATAAGTTAAATAGACAGGGCAACAGCCTTGCTGAACTCCTTTCTCAATTTTGAACCAATCAGTGGTTCTGTGTCTAGTTCTCACTGTTGTTTCTTGACCTCCATACAGGTTTCTGAAGAGACAAATAAGATCGTCTGGTACTCCCATCTCTTTAAGAACTTGCCACAATTTGTTATGATCCACACAATCAAAGGCTTTCGCATAGTCAGTGAAGCAGAAGAATATGTTTCTCCACTGAGCCGAAGGGAGAATCCAGGATGGGGTAGTCTCTAGTCTCATAGCTCTGCAGACCGAGTTGAAAAACTGAGGACACACCCCCTGGTAATGGTCCCCAGTTCTTCACTCGGTCTGATTGTGTTCAGACCACCCTTTAAGGGCTCTGAATAGTTAAGATTGTAGAAGAATCACCCCCTGGATTGAGGTTTTTTCTCTTCGAGAGGCTTAGAGCAGGTTTGACAACCAGCCAGCTTGCCGGTTAGCACTTTTTTTTCTTTTCTATTTTTTGACTGCCTTTAAAAAAAATAAATAATTTGCTGGTGGACTGGTTTTTGGAATTGTACTTGTATATTTGGTTGGAGGTGCCCCTGAGAGCCCGTGTGGCCCGGGCTGGGAGGGCAGGAGTCAGTGTCTTATTCAATTCACTTTCTCCTGGTCTGTTCTTATTGATCTGTGCTAGCCGTGAAAACCACGAGGCGCTTCTGCCCCTTTTCGGCGTCAGCGGCCATTTCAGACGTTTCGGGACAATTCTGCAGTTTGTCTCCAGGATTGTCCTGGGGGGGGGAGGTACTGGCCATCTGGATTGAATCCTGACCCCTTGTCCAGTCACCAGAGCACCGTGGCAGCTGTGAGATGCTTGAGACTGCCAAATTGATTGCGGTGCAGCCAGCATTGGCTTGCAAGCCTCTGATCTGTCAGGGCTTGTCGCAATTTTAAAGAATCAGCTTTTTTTTTTCCTTTTTGCTTTGACTCTTGCCTTAAATTGCGGAGCTGTGCTAAGCTCACTACTTCTGGGTCGCACTAGCCTCCTGAAGTGATAGACAGCTGCTGTGACCAAAGCAGACAGCTTTAGATCAAATAAATTTTGTTTTTATTTTTCTTTTGCCCCTTTTTTCCTTTTTTCTCTCCCTGTCAGTGTCAATTATTTTTGGCGGGCTCAAAATGGCCACCAAGGGAGCTGGCCAAGAATTATCAGCTCCTCAGCAGAGTAGGAGAGAGCTGCAAGGGGATCAACTAAGTCCAGGTCTGCTGGGCTGGAGGCAGCAGCTAGGATCAGAGCTAGAACCCTAGCCCCTAAAAGACCCTCTAGGGCAGAGAATAGGCAGCCCAGGCATAGACAAAAAGCCCTACATAAGGAGTTTGATAAGGTGGTGAAAGACTCCATGATGACAGGCAGCAAGACCAATTGGCAGATAGACAATATTTGACTGCCTGATCTCCTGGTGGCTCAAGTATTCAGGATTTGCAGGGAAAACTCCAAATCAAGGCAAAAGCCACTCATAATAATTCTGAACCACC